CAGTGTGAAAAGGTTATCTAGCCATGTGCTGTGTTGGTGGGTTGTTGTTTTTTTATTTTTAATTGTGCTGTCGATTTTACAAAAAACTATTTTCAGGTTGGTTTCTTTAACTTGCATCATCACATATATCAGCAAACAGAACTTCATTTTCTCTGAAACTAGCTTGTATTTTAGTCGTATTTATTTAAGGGAGGGCTGCTACAAAAATTATTCATGCAAAATTAGCAAATGTAGTAAAGCACAGTCACTTCTCAGTTTTATTCATATTTATAAATGTTTTTGTCACAATGGCAGCTTTTAGAGTAATTCTAAAAGTCAGTGTTTGTTTATTGTAATTTGTGATAAGAATATATGTTTAATGCAATTATATAAATTTAGTTTGATGTTAATTGTTTGTACTTATATTTTTCATACAATTTCTCTCAGTTAAAAAAAAACCTAAGATAATATTTGTAAAGGGCGTTGCTATTCATTTATTTAAGGTTGTCATTATTTTAAAATATATTCAAACTGAGATGACAGTGAAAGTATTTGCAGCCCACGTCTACTGGAATTATTTGGGATTATTTGTATCAGTGATGGATGTGTGTATAACCACTTTGTTACACTGCTAAGTCAGCAGATCTGTGGATTACACTTAAAGCATTTACAGGATGGGTGGCACCCAGTTTTACGGGTTTGTGCTGCGAGCCTTTTTTATGTTGCTTTTGATGATACAGCAGAAGTATCCGTGTAGGCCTAACTTAAACAGCATGACTTTTTATGGAAACAGATTTCCATAAAAACATCAACCCCTACATTGTATCTGCTGCTTATTATGAGTTATGTACACTCCTTATCAGGAGGCATCAAACAGGAGTGGATTGATTAATAACTATATCTTTATCCCATAATAACCCAGACCTAGATTTATACCGTTAGTAAGCATGTGACTCATGGTCATTGGCAGGCCACACCCATGGAAGCGAAATTTAACATTTAAAATAATCAGGGTTTACTCATAGAAAAAGGGAGGAAAGAAGAAGGCAACAATTATGTGGTAGACTGAAACCTCAAAGCATTAAAGTAAATAAAAAATACTAAAAAATTAAAACTTTGAAAGAAAATGTCTTAAAGTCCAGCTAAGAAACATAGCGCTTATAATTGACTGGGTTCCTACAAAAAAAAATATGAAGGCTTTACTGTGCAGTTTCAAACTATGCGAACAACCTTGTGGTTGTGCATTGTGACTCCCTAAAGACATAGTACTTAGGCACTGCTAATTTCAAATGAAGGCAAAGAGTCCTTTGGAGCTGAGCCCATCCCTGACATTTTCTCTGTTTTTCACATTTATCAGTGGCACACAACAGCCTCATCAGCCCACATACTACTCCAACATATTCCATTAAGGTGCCTGGAATAAGGGTGCATTTCCATAAAATATTCTTTGTCAGAATCAGAAAATGGGCAAATTATCTGAACACTAAAACACCCCGGCGCACTGTAGATCCCAGAGCGGACAGAAATGACCTCAATTAGGCTGTCTAAGCACAAGAAAGTGTCTCACTGGTTAGAGATCTGAGTGGCACAGATAGATCAACACTGCCACTTCTCTCACATCACCTGGATGAGCACTTTACATTTGTAAATCAATGAGGAGGGTAACCACATCTAGAAGTGCTGGGAGGGATTCCTGTCTGCCTTGGCACAGATTTTTGAGAACCAAATTACCTCTATTATAGCTCTCAGTTGGGGACTGCATTCTAGGATCAATCTGTCAGAAAAGGGTGCTTTAGCTTTGATGGATATGACACGTGACCAACGACGATGCTGATTTTTCTTTTCCTTTTTTTAATCTTCTGGATAATAGGCAGATTTAGTATAGATTTACCTGAAACAGTAGATCTGTTTATAACCACTGTCTCTGCTTTGTGTCATGCTGCTTAGTTTATGGCTTCATTACAACAATCGCAAAGCCGTGGACACCTGAACAGCCCATATATCCATAAATCACACCCCGAGATAACCACAGTCAACTGTTCCGGCTTATGACACCTTTAGCTACAATTAGAGTGCTAAGGTGTAGATGAGCTGTATAGGTATGTGTAATGTCAAGTACTATATCCACATGAAAGCTGGTAACAAATACCAGGCCTTTGCTGTACCTGAGAAGCAGGTGTATAATCAAAATGTATTTGAAAAGTAGCAATCTATACTTGCAAAGCATAACTGCAAGTTATCTGCAATGGCTGCTTAACCATTATTGATAGGCCCCTTTTCTTCCTATCACAGAGAGCTTTTACATTATAATCACAGCTTGATGAAATGACCACACATACATAAAAGATAATAATTGCTTTTTGACTTATGTCTGGCATGGGGTTGAACATTATAGCAGCTTCTCCTTATTGACACAGCTGTTACCCAAACTATAGACTTGCCACTGCAGACTATGGCATGTCTTTATATTGTTCCACACACCCACTAATGACAGCTTTAGTGGTGGTAATTCAGTGGGGTTGAATATGGGGTTAGGTGTGTGAGTCACGTCCTGGGCTCCCCCTGTTGCCAGATGTCCTGCCAGGTTTTCCTGCAGTGTTGCTCCCTCTCTCTCTGAGGATGCAAAGCATGTCCCAACAATCTAAAATGGCTGCTTTAGGTCTAAAACTAGAAAATAGCATGTTATATGTTTTTCATGCTGTTTACATGTTGGAAATATTTTGAGTGGGTGTTTTCCTGTTAGATTGCAGTTTGGACAGCGAACATCGATATAGTTGACCTGACCCCAGAGAAGCAGAGCTCTAAGGTCGACTTCAGCAAGGTTGCATGTCTTTTAGTTGAGGAAAAGATGCAACCCGGTGTCTTCCTCAGTAAGAAATCACTTGCTAGTTATTTTAAATGTCCACAATAGGATAACCCAAACATTTTTATTCCAGCTGCCTTACTGTGCATTAGTTTAGAGCCACTCTTGACCAACCTAATGTATTAGGGGCTAAATTAAGAGTTTAATCTGACCCTTGTTTTGAATCAAGGCCCACACGGGACTATTAATGTGCTTAACTGGATCACTGTCAAATAAGTAAAATATTAGTGAAATGTTTTATTTAAGTATTTCTGATGTAAAGTGCATATCTGAATTTACTATTGTACTGTAATTTCATGGATTCCTTTTGTTCTGCAGAGCTCAGCGCACACCTAAGCACTTTTAGGCCTTGATGGACAAAGTGAATATGTACTTTAATACTCTGCATGCTCTAATCCCCCATGTTCTCTTTCCTCTGTGTCAAATCTCCACAGTGAGAGCTAGAGAGAGAAGGGGGGGGGGGTCCTGGGGAGGTGGGAGGGTTGGTAATTCATGCACACATGTGCCTGCCTGTTCCTCTAGTGACAGGGCCAGGGGGAGGGGCACATGATAAATTGCCTTCCACCGGGGACCTCCGAGCACAGCCACCATGATGTGGGTAAAAATGGAAATTGCTCCCTTTCACCGTCATTACATCAGTTTAGGACGCGTGTGGGCCTTATATACACCAAGAGATTTTTTTTCTTGAAGTCTGACGAACCGCTGCGCGATAGGCAAGGGACAGCATAGCTGAGGAGGCATTCTTGATAATAACAGTGGTAATTGTAACAGAGCTGGGTCAACGGCATGTCCAAGGGAGCTGAAAGATAACGCTCATGCTTGAGAGTAAACGGTAGCAAGCACACAGCACGTAAAGGCCATTCTTTGTAATTTGGGCTAAAAACCATTTTACTATAACTAATCAGTCGTGTCTGTGTGAAATCAGTTATAGCCCCGGCACACCGACTTTGATTCGTAAAGTTTTTATCCAAAAATAGGAATTATAGCGCATGAAAGTTCAAATGCAAGTGAATCATATATAGATTTATGCAAGTAAATCTATATATGAGCGTCATAAACCGAATAAGCTCTAATGCCCAAAAAGAAAAAAAAACTGAACTATCTATCTATCTATCTATATATATACACATACATATGATATTTTTGAAATGTTACATTTTTAAATATTTCGTTTATGCGCCTGGCCTTCTCAGATCCAAGACACGGGTTGTGAGTGTTTGCATCTGTATGAAAACCCCACAACTTTGCACAAGTCAGAGTATTTTTAATTACAAATATAGTGGCGTATACAATAGATGCACAAGGTGGGTCAGATTATCAAACGCAAAATAAATAATATCCTCCTAGCAATGGCCATCCAGTCAAAATACACCAGTTAATAGGCTCCACGTTTAAATGTCACCTTCTTAGAGTCTCCCTCTGTGCTTAGAACTTCGTTTCTTTTTAATGTTTTTTTTAAAGAGGCAACGATTGCAAAAATTTATAGTGCATTAAATTTGAAACCCAGGGATCGATTCACTTCAATTGCCGTCTTTCTTTTTAAGGTTGTAAAACTGATTTTTGTTTTAATATAGATTTATTTTAATTTAGCATTTCAAAACACACATGCTCTTGATTTTTATAAACCGTAGAAAAATCAGCTGTCCTTATCGAGCATTTTGGGCGTATTTCACACACATTACGCAAGCGAACTCCACAAAACATGTCACACCCCGTCAAACAACGTATTGACAAAATTCACTCACAAGCAACCCAACTTATCTCGAATGATTTCCTGTATAAAGCCGGTTCTACCCTCCCTCATACACACACACACACACACACACACACACACACACACACTCCCACTTTAATTCAAGTTTCAAGTCATCTAAAATTTGATGTTCAAAGCTCCCAAGTTTCGTTTATAATGAAGAAAGAAAAAAGAAAGATTATATGAGTCATGTGAGAAAACTGAAAACATTTGTTGTTTTGCACGATTTAAATTGTTTCGATGACAGCCGGAAAATATAGGCCAGTGTCGGCTTAAATGACCCAATCAGGCTTTCTTAACCCCAATTTTAAAAAAAATTTAAGAGCCCAATGTTTTGTTTTGTTTTTTTAAATGTCAGTGTAAAATAAATTTGACTCTCGTCAGAAAATGAGGCACACGGAGATATGGAACAGAATTGTTTCTTATTTTTTTTTCCAGAATACATACAAAAAAATACCAATTCTCTGTCCATGGTGAACACCTGAAAAATAACGGCAATTTAAAATGTGGACAATTTCTGAAATTTAAGAAACAAACATGCATGTAAATTTTTTTTTCTGCTTCTCAATGAGACATTAAATAAGAACAAATACAATCATAGCAATTCCAAATTAACATCGAAATGAAGACCCCTACTTTAATTAGTATTCTAACATATGTGTGTATGTGTGTGTTTCACTTTAACTAGTTCAGCTTCAACATAATGCACTTTTTGAGTTGCTCAAATATTTTTTTTTTTCCATTTGCAGATATTACCGCCTGCTTTTAAGCCGACATATAAATAAATACAGTTGAAGTCCACGGATCCCGCCCTTAAGTTTAGCGCACTTAATATAAAAGTCTTTATATTTGCATTCTTAGTACTATAAACTTTTCAGTCTTTTATTTTCTTCTTCTTCTTCTCACTGATATCCAAGCGCTGATGCTGTGGTGAGTCTCTGGCCGTACAGTGCATAGGGGGAGTAGTAAGGGCCGGTGGCTGCGGGGACAGGAACAGGGGCACCGGGGGTTGGCAGGGGGCTTTTGGAGTACGGATGATAGCGGCTGCTGAGTCCTAACGCATGATGCGGGCTCCTTAAAGCCAAAGTCCCGGGACTCCCGGGGGGTCCTGACGGTGGCATGTGCATATGGCAGGCCATGGCTGCTGCTGCAGCACTGGCCAGCGAAGACGACCCGGGATAACCGGATATCAACTTTTCAGCCCCAGTAAAAGCAGTGTGTGTCCTCAGGTGATTCAGGAGCTCTTCCGAGGTGGAGAAACGCTTGTCGCACGGTCCATTTGCCGACACCCAATTACAAACGTGGGGGAGAGGGTCGTTGGGAAGCATGAAACCGTATGGGTACAGGGGGTGTCCGCTAAATGATGGCGCTGAGGAATGAACGCCGTGTATGGGGTGTGACGGGTACATTAGTGGGTAGCTGGACTTGAGGGCGTTCGCGGCAGCTGCAGCTGCAGAGTCGTGCGTGCAGGAAGCGGTGGCCGCGCCTGCTAAATGACTGGCACAGTGGTAACTGAGGCAGTAAGGGTCTCTGCACAGGCTGGCTGACATGATGGACGGTGGAGAAGCCCCAGCCAAGGGGCTGGATCCAGCCTTACTGCAGCCCAGTGAACTGGCCAGCTGTGCGTTTACCAAGCTCCCTCCGTGGGGCAGGAAGTGCTGAGGATAGCCAGCATAGGCCCCAGCCAAGCTACCTGGGTATGTCATACCAGCAGGAGGCAACGGAAAAACTGTCTGTCCCGGTTTGTAAGGAGAAACCGGCGCCACAAGTCCTGACCCGAGAACGGATGCGGAGGATACAGAAGTAACAGATGAGGACTCCGAGGAGGAGGTGGTTTTACTGCCAGGCGTCGTCTCCTGGTGTTGGTTCACCTCCACGTTAATTCCACCACAACTCACGCTTATCCTGCTGTGGCTAGTGGTGCCAGAGCCGTCCGTAGAGCCATTTTTATTACAATCAGACTCTTTCTTTTCATCCCTTTCCCCACATTTCCCGTCCGATGGCATAGGGGAGGCTGAAGTGCTGGAGCTGGGGCTGCCTGTCCGCGGTGTAAACGGCTGGCAGGTGGCGCTCGGCACTCGGAAACCAGACTTCTCTCCGCCTGAAACGCCCGAAGACGAGTCCTTCTTATCTGAAGGCTTAGAATAAGGTTTGAAGCTAGATTTGTCATCCACACCAATGTCACTCAGTTTCAAAGGGCCCGATTTAGATTCCTTCTCACTAGATCCATTTGAGGTTACGGAGGATAATTTGGAGGAGGGTGGCGGGTCCGGTTTGCCGATCTGAGAGCAGGTCTGCGCCAGCAGAGCCAGCGGACTTTTCTTGGCATCTAGCTGCAAAGAAGAAAATAAAAAGATTGATAAATACTATTAATACGCATATCTGCAGCTTTGTTTTGAGTACAGTCCCGGGGGCGAACGTTTAATCGGGATATTCCTTGGTGTTTTAAAGCGAATATATAGGTGTAATTATTTATTTAGAGGTCTTTCTTGAACAAAACTACACAAAAAATAAACCAAACACATATGTGTTACATACATATCTATATATAAATAACCGCTTTAAACGCTGGAGCCACACTTGGAACAGGACAGGCGATTTCAGAGAATAACAGGAACAGACTCCCAGGACGTTTTCACACGAAACAGCATTCCCTAAAAACAAATTCAATCCACGCTTACCTCTATAGGACTGACAGGGGTCGAAGGCAAAGGCTGCAGATACTCCGGGTGCAAAATGTGTCCCGACCGTGCGGTAAGCATTTTCAAGACCTTGATGGGAAGACGGTTCGCTTGCCGTAGTGGATCAGACGGAGGTGCGGAGTGGAGAAAAGGCTTGTTGACGTTCGCTGAGCCGCTATTCCGAGAACTGCTGCTTTCCCACGCTACACAAATATCACTATTTTTTAAGGCAGACGCCGAGGGCGATGTGATCATGTCCCAATTGTCAAGAAATGTAGTGACGCTGCTTTCCACAGATTCATTAAGAAAGATTTGGGTGGAGAGAAAAAAAAAAGCACCGAGCCTCTCTGCCGTGGGGTGGGGTGAGAAAAAGAATCGGAAAACGCTTCAATAATCGGTAATCCTGGTAGTAACGGAGCAAAAGGCGCGGCAGCTGGAAGGAGACGGTGCGAGGTTATCGCAGATCCGTGTCTGCGTCTTGCACCATGAGCGCTGCGCCTGTGTGTGCGTCTGTGTGCAGGTCCTCGCTCTGTACTCCCGAAGTACGAACTGGTAGAAATTTTCACTTCAAAAGCAGCTGAATTAGTCCGAGATTAAAGCCTTTGCCGCCTTCCAATCAAATGGGACCCTGAGGTGATTGGAGGGTCAAGGGGATGTGACGTTCTCCTCTTTGTAAGCGCCTCTATTTTGACAGCTCGGGGGAGGAGATAGCGTTAAATATATTGGTTAATGTGAACGCTTACAAGTTAGAGAAACAAATAGTGGCGATAAGGACACAACAGCGTGCAGAAGAGTGAGTAAATAACACCATAAAAGAACGATCCATACACTTATTATGCTTAACAATCATAAAACATAGTCGCTCTACTCTGAATCATCCATTTATCTGATCTAATATTTGATATATTCAAGTTTTGTTCGGGGGCGAGGGGATAAATGGGACTCAATTTATTCGTCCTGTTTTCAGTGGATATTTAAATTATTTACTTAATGTTCACTACACATTGATTTTAATCTAGATTTCAAAAGGGATGATTCTTCACTGGTTTCCATGAGCGCTTTCATATATTTCTAACATTTTTCTTCTTCATTAAAAGCTTTTAAAGTGTCCATCATAAAATCATTATCACATCTGATTCTGTCGTTACATTAACAAGTGTTTTTGTTCGTTTTCCTCCGACTGTTCGCAACCTGAGAGACGCACAAAGTTCGCGCATTTTACGACCGTCCGCCACTGGGACTGCTTTCCACCGGCAACCATAAAACCAACCACTTCAGCTCGAATTCCCTAAACAGACAAGCGTTGACAGGAATAGACCAATGTAGTGATGGAGGGATGTGAATGTCACATGTTTTCAGTATAATATACACCGCCCTTCTATTTCTATCTCCACCCCTCCGTCAAGTGTCAATTCTGCTCCACCGCAATCAATCAGTTATTTGTCAGAGGCTGTCAATCCACTGCTTGATTTATGTCAGCTATTGTGGCTGATTACATGCCAGTGCGACTGCGGGAAAAGAACAAGTGGGGGGGAAGAGAAAGGGAGAGACAGGGAGACATTCTGCAAGAGACACCCAAGATTTCAGAGGAAATAAATTGATTCTCGTGTCAAGGTTTAATTTTTAAGATGCATCGACGGTAGCCAACAAGCCCGCGTTGACGTGGGAGGGTATCAGAGTCAAAGCCGTTGATTTCACTCCATATCAGCCAGTTATTAAATAAAATCGGCAACTTTTGGAGTTCTTCGTAAAACTTATCGGTGGTGGTATACACGATGAAACTTTAATAAGTTGCAGTTCAGCTCTTGATTTCCACGGAGAAGCTTTTGGTTTTTAATAGTGTTAAACGGCTTTTTGCTATAATCGGTGGATCACGGAGCAAAGAAAGAGCCGTAGGGGGGGAAAGAAAGAAAAAAACACGTGCTCTATCGAAAATGCACGAAGTAAACAAATGGACAGAAAATCCTGGGTTTAAAAAAAATTACACACACAAAACGGAAAGTTAAATAAACAGTGCAGGGATGTAGAATTCATATTCCCATTATCTATCTATATGTATAGCCTCTATTCTCTCTTGGATAGCATGGACGCAGTATAACTATTTACAAGATTTAATAATAATTCAAATGTGTAACAACCCGGTCACACACTGCGGTCTCTCAAAACAGAACCATGTCCATTTTTTTAGGGAGGGGGGGCTAAACGCATCTGCCATTGTGTTGTTAAAACCTGTCATCTGCCTCGGGCACACTGTCATCTGCAACAAGAACAACAAAGACGACTGAAAAAAAAAGAGAGAAAGAAATCCAGACAGTTTATATTGATGTCAGCTCGATTTTATTTACATACAATGGAAATGATTTATTTTCTTTAACGGGCAGAAACGCGGACCGGGAGAAAGAAAAGAAGAGAAATGGTCTGTCAGGCCGTTGAGAAAAGAAGTTTAAAATGCCTTGAACTATTCACCGCTGAGATGGCTAATCAGTATTGAGGCTGCGGGGCAATCGGGCAGCTTTTCAATGTGGTTTTCCTTTCATCTAAATCGGGATGGAGGCGCTCAATTAAAAGCCTATCAGTTTGTAAGTAAATCAACGCCTATCAAAGTTGTCACATCAAACAAAACGATTATTATTGCAACCCGCCTCTGCCATTAATCTCTTTCTGTGGTAATCTGCTTGACAGGTCAACACGGAGAGCAAGAAAACCTGGAGTGGACAGTGAAGGCTGCAAAATATTTTATTTATTTTTACTGAATTGTGGGTTGTTTTTTTTTGAGAAAAATAAAAATGCAAAATAAAAAAAAATATTTTTTTCGAGTCCCATATTTTTTTAATTAGTTAAATTTTGGAGTGAATATAATAAAACGTTTACAGAGCAAACTTACAAAAGACTAATAAAAAAAAGACAGATAGGAAAAAAGTTTTTACCTTATAGGCCCACAGCTGATTTCAACTTTGTAAAAGGTGCACTAATAAAGAAATTAATAACTATCTTCTCTATCTTGTCTACATATCCCATGCAATATAAATACATGTCGACTTCTAAATAAGACATGTTGTTCTCAGCGTAATATGTGTGTTTCTAAGAGAGGGAGGAAGGAAAAAGTCCAAGTAAGCGGATCTCTATTTCTACGAATGTTCTCAGTCTTCTTTTTTTTTCTTTCTTGCAAAAAAGAAGAGGGGGGACGTTTCACAATATGCAAAGATGTGTGATTGATAACAGGCTTGGTATTTTCTGCAAGGGATGTCAGTCCGTGACACAATATGTGAGTTATTAGGGCAAAGAAGGGCAACCATAAATTTTCACTGTCAGGCGAAAACCCTCTTTATTGTCCCTATGACGAATGGGCTTCTGCACCAGACACCAAAATACTCGGCATTCCTCTTAAATGGGAACACATTTTTGCGACCATAATTCATGATATTTAAATAGAAAGTTTTAATATCCCCCATATATTTCATAACACTGACATGTTTATGAATCACTCCGCATGCAAATACAACCATTTACATCTCGCGAGGAAATACTTTATGTTGGACTTGTAGGATTACAGAGCTGGGCCGACTTGTTGTGATGAAGCGAGAAAGAACACATTTCATTATTAGGGCTGATTTATGCAGCCAAACTAAATATGAAATATATAATTAAACAACTTTCCTAAATGCGTACCTTCAGTTTTTTTTAAGGCTATGGTGTAAACGCTACTTTATTTTGGGCCTATATACAAACTGCTTGGGAGCTATTCACGACGTTACCATAAAGTTATTAATTTCATTTTAGACCATTTGCCGTTTATTATTTATAAATATATTCTAGCAATAATTAAAGTGTACAAAGACAGCAACAGAGAGGCACAGAATCTCCGCGTAGCAGTAATATAAAAGAAGATGTGTACTGGCCAGGATAGCAGACTATTAAAACTATTAAAGTACATGCATGAAGTAGATTTGTTTCCCCTCTAAAACTCCGTGGAAGGACAGGATTACAGGAAAGTCCGTGACACGACATTACCTGGAATCATTGCCTACTAAGCTCCGATGTAAAACGTCAGAGAGGTAAAAACGATAAAAAAAAAAAAAACATCAACAACAGTGTAACGACATTAAGACGTAGTCCTTGTTTCTAAAAGAAACCCTGTTTGGAATTACTCAAACACAACCACTCAATACACTGTCGAAGTGAAGCAAGGAACACAGCGAGGACCGAAGCCATGCAGACTCTCCCTCGCTCACTCTCTCTCCGGGAGAGCGGCGGGGAGAGAGTGAGCTTTTCCGCGTGTGGGAGGTCTTAGGTGACGTCACAAAACATGCAGCAGGCAAGCTGGCTGAGCAATGTGCAATGAACAGCAGCAGGCCTATGGCGCTCACAAACTTTCTAATGTCTCTAAACAGTGAACCACTGTGACCCACAAGTAAGCAGGACTGCGACATACCTCATTAAAGCAGTCAGCTTACTTGTTGCCAAAGCTTCAACTACAGCAGGACAAACACAGCACTGTGGTGGGAACGTCAGTCTTTGACTGCACATACAAAATTAAGGACTGATAGCCTGTAAGAAAAGTTTATAGTTTTTGTTAATAACAAGTAAGTATATATTTAGAATATATATAATATCCCATCCATAATAATCACGTTTAAATGATCCAGAAAAGAATATTTGACCACAAGAGCATGCATGACTACACTGCATCTGAAAAAGTGGCTTGACAAAACTAGCATGGTTCAAAAGTAGTATAAAAGATATGTGGTTGTAAGTATTTTGTCAGAAACAAACCTTAATTACTTAGCACAAAGTTATTAGCAGCTTTTATACAGATATACAAGATACCTATATCAGATAATTTATTAGGTACATCTTGCTAGTATATGGTTAGACCCTGTTTTCTCTTCAGAACTGCTTAAATTCTTTGTTGGATAGGCGATGGAAACACTGCTCGAGGATTTTGGTCCAAATAGAAAGCATCACACAGTTCCTGCATATTTGTCAGCTGCATATTCATGATGCAAATCTGCCCTTCCACCACATCCCAAAGCTGCTCTACTTGATTGTGATCTGGTGATTGTGGAGGCCACGTATGTACAGTGAACTGTCAAGAAACCAGTTTGAGATGATCTTAGCTTTGTGACAGGGTGTGTTATCCTCCTGGAAGCAGCCTTCAGAAGATGGATACACTGCAGTCGTAAAGAGATTGAGAAGGTCAGCAACAATACTTGGGCAGGCTGTGTATCATGCTCTATTGTAACCAAGGGGCCAAAAGTCTACCAAGAAAATATCCTTCACACCATTACAACACTGAGCTGTTGACATAAGGCAGGATAGATCTGTGCTTTTGTGCTGTTCAAACTGAGACTCATCAGTTTAGGCAATGTTTTTGTTGTCCACGTTTGGTAAGCCCACACAAATTGTAGCCTCATTGCAGTGACACAAAACTATCTTTTGTGCTCAGGAGCATTCGAGTCAAAGGTAAATCCCAGATCGTTCGTGCAAATGTCTGTCATTGTGTAATGAGACAGTCAGTATCCATACATGTGTTTATATATCAAATTTCAAACAACTGAAAAATTCAAAGATCTTGGTCTTGGAACATATTTCTGTAATATTAGGTTTGGTGCGCCACAGCAACATTCTGTACACAGACCAGTGCATTCTAATATTAAAAGGAAAACTATTGCAGTTTTTTGTACTGTGGTCTGGACAAAATGATCACAGAATGCTGCAATTTCACAGACCTTTGACACCATGTTTAGTTTTATAACTAGCAGGACAAATATGTTATACTCCACATCATACTGTCAAGTGGAAGAAACAAAAGGGCTAATTATGAAGTCTGGACAGAGCTTTTAAAATATGGAACAAGCTTTTGGTAGTCATTAGACTGGAAAAACAAAATAAATCTATCTGAGAGATCTAAATCTCTGCAAAATTGACAGTCTGGTACATTCTTAAAAAGAAAGACTGATCAGCTCAACAAAACCAAAAGACCTGAAAGTGGATAATCACAAATTCTTTCATCGGTTAAGTAAAGTTGTATCGCTATCAAAGTCCACAAAACTGAGATACCAACATGAATGGAAAACACAGAACATTCAGAACAAGGCGCAAACTACTGATTATGCTCAATAACAAGCAGGACAGATTATACTTTGTCAGAAAACAGTTCCAAGATGAAACCAAGATGAACTTGGCTAGCATCGGAATGATGGAAAGGGAAAGGTATGTAGTAGGAGAAAAAGGTCTTAAGCTCAGAAGCATACTACATCATCTGTCAAATATGGATGTAGCTAATGTTATGGGATGGGTACATATGGCTGCTAGTGAAACCAGGTCAGCAGTGACTGCTCATAGATGCAGCAGGATGAATTGTATGAAGTGTACAGGGTACTACACTCTCTGCTCAGACTGAATCAAATGCTCCAAAACTGACCAGACAGTGCTTCACACTGCAAATGGATAATGTGTCAAAGCATTCAAAGAAATTGGATATTCTTCAATGGTGAAGTTAGTCACCTGATCTCAACCCAGTAGTCCGTGCTTTTTCATTTATTGAAAATAAAACTCAATGCAGAACGACTCACAAACAAGCAGCAACGGTAGGCAGATAGAACATCATAAGGGAGGAAACACAGGATTTAGAGATCCCAATGGGTTCTAGACTTTATCCAGTCATTGCTGTTCATCCAAGTATTAAAAAACAAGCCTCATGCTTGAAATTATATAAATTTGTCTAACTATTTTTGAGCCTCTGTAAATGGGGTATATGTTAAAAAATGGTTATAAACCCTATTTTTTAAATAAACACTCTGAATTTAACCTAAACGTCTGAACTTCAGTCACATAACAATTGATTTTGAATCTATTAATATATATATTTTAAAAGCCAACGTATGAGAAACACTGAACTCAGAGATAAACATAGCATCATTTATGCAAAAAGAAAAAGAAAAAGAAAAGGAAAAAGAAAAAGTTGAGTGAACTTACCCTTTAAATAAGAAACTTGTCAAGGGCGATGGGGGCAGCACTGAGCCCAATTGTGTGGTCAAAGGGGAAGATGTTGTCAAGACTTA